CCGAGCAGCAGACTGTTACCCAGCCTATAGCATCCCTGGGCCTCTGGGACAGATCCCTACAGCATCCTGAGCTGGTTCAGCCTGTCTTCATCGTCCCATGCTTCAGTCGGGGCGGACATCACGCACTAACCACCCTGCCTGCCCCCCAGATGTCCATCTCCTTTGCCACCCCTGCCTCCGAACCACCTGCAGCCGGGCAGAGGGTAGTGGTGACGGGGCTCCTGTGTGACACGGAGGGAAGGAGACGTAATTCCACCACACAAAGCCATACGGCCCTGGCGGCTTGGCTAGCGCGACGCCACTCACCTGAGTTAAGCAGCCTCGCTCGCACGCACACCGCCAGGGCTGCTCTGTGACGATCTACACCTTCCAGATCAGCGCATCCCCTGGCTTTGCGGACATTCCCCTTTGTCAGCCTCTCCTCCAGGGAACCTCACTCTGCCGGACCCAGGGGAACCATGTTTGCTGCAAGGCGGCTGCCGGCTGCTGCCACTGCCACTCGATGCATATTTGATGACCGCTATTATTCTCATCTCCACTCATGAACGGAGAGAGGGGAGCTAACCTTTCCTGCAGAGGAGCTGGGGAATGAATGAGAGGCCGGGGCAGCAAGCACTGCTCCCCCGGCTGTGCTGATGGACAGAACTGCAGATACCTCCAAGGAGGGAGAAGAGGGGTGGGACAAAACCTGTTAACAGGGAAAAAGGAGGGAACGGTGTAGTCAAAAGAGCAGCTACCTGCCTGGGGCACTAGAAAAGGAAGCCAAACAGACTAGCCCGTCCCACTGCACCTCCTACCGAATGATGATTGAAACAGACACAGGTTTTGGAACAACTGTGCAGGGGGATACAGATACGTGCAGACACTCAGTACCCAACAGCATCTGTCACAATGAACTAGCTTCTGTATGTCTGAGGGTCAGAGAAGAATAGTTTGGGAGAACTCAGACCAATACAAAAGGGCGGCTGGAAAGGCAGATGTTATATTTTGCCAACATAAAATTAATCCCTCCACGTGAACCTGATGTGATCTTTAAACCACTCACTGAGGGCAGGTGTTGTCTAATGGGTTTAGCACAGACCTGGCAGGCAGAAGACCTGGGTTTTTAACCCCAACAATAGCGCTGACTCATGATGTGAGCGTGGGCAATTCACTCCCCCTCTCTGTGCCTCTGTTTCCCCAGCTGTATAATGGGTATGTTACCTGCCTTTATAAATAAGGCTTTGGAAGTAGCACTGGCAGATGACAGCACTACAGAGATATTATTATTCACTCACTCCTAGCACTGGAGCGGTGATCTGTACCAAGGGCTGAGTGACCTGTTAGCCAGTTGTGAGAACTGTTTGCGTTAACAGATTGTGGTTTTTATGGTTACGGGCTTGGAGAGTGATGCATTGGGGGGCACCAAAGGGCCTGAATTCAAATCCCACAAAGGGCGGAGAACCTTTGCAGTTGGTTGCATTGAGACCACAAGCTCATAGCCTTTCAGGCCAAAAGGGACCATCACAATCATCTTGTCTGCCCTCCTGCAAGTTGCAGGCCCACAGAACTTCACCCACCTACTCCTGTAATAGACCCCTAACCTCTGGCTAATTTACCGAAGTCCTCAAACCTTGATCTAAAGACTTCAAGTTACAGAGAATCCACTATTTCCTCTAATTCAAAGCAGCAAATGCTCATCCTAGAGGATCTTCTCTGCACCTGTTCCAGTTTGAATTCATCTTTCTTAAACCTGGGAGACCTGAACTGCACAGTGTTCCAGCTCATGTCATCCAAGCAAGGACTAATGCGTCCAGCTTTTCTCCATCCTGAGAGCCCTTTGTTCCCTCTTCAGGATGCCCCTTGGTCTCGTTGCAGTGTTCTCCTCATAGAATCAGAGAATATCAGGGTTGGAAGGGACCACAGGAGGTCATCTAGTCCAACCCCCTGCTCAAAGCAGGACCAATCCCCAGACAGATTTTTACCCCAGATCCCTAAATGGCCACCTCAAGGATTGAGCTCACAACCCTGGGTTTAGCAGGCCAATGCTCAAACCACTGAGCTATCCCTCTGCCCTCATCTCAGCAGCCTCCTTAGCCACCTCTGCTACAAAGGAGTTTCACAGGCCTAGCTTGTTTGGGGTGACCTGTGTCACTGTTTGAAACAATGAAGTTGTCACTGCAAGACCGTGACTGTGATATACTGCCCGTGCAGTGCTTTCAATCTCACCAGGATGGCAGTAGCGAAGATAGCAGAGGAGAGCCCATGGCTGTAACTGTCTCTCATTGAATTAAACAAATGTAGCTGGAGTCAAGTCCCTTTTTATTACCTTGCAAACGATTCCTGGCTAAATTAAATGATAAAAGGAGTGTTTGGCCAATCAAACGTACTTGATTGCCTGGAACACGCACAGCCCTCTAGTTTTGAGCAGAATATGCTTCAAGCTGCAACCCTTTCCAGGATGACAATCTCGAGGGAGCGACTGCTGGATTGTCTAAAACTGAAATCAGACTCATCAAAATGTAGGGTTAGAAGGGACCTCAAGCAGTCATCAAATCCAGCTCCCTGTGTTGAGACAGGACTGAGCAAACCTAAAAAATGCTGGAGTTCGTTGACTTTCTAGGGTACATAGACCATCCATCCACTCGCGCTTTCGTCAGATGAGGTGGTTGGGAGCTGCGTTTAAAGGGATAGCTTAACTTTTACATTTGAGTTGTATTTAGTTTGACAGTGGGCAGTTGTATTTTGCAGATTATGTACATACGCTGGGAGACAAATGGTGAGAGCATTCTATTATAATTAATCTGCTTCTCCCCTCCACTTGCTGTATGACCTTGGGAAAGTAATTTAACTCTCTGGTCCTCCGCGATCTCCTGTGTAAAGAGGGTTAACAATAATCTCTCCCTTTTGTGAAATGCCACACTTGGCCTTTGAGCAACATGCAGAAGCAACTTTAAACACACAAACCTAATCTTTCTGTGAAGCAGATAAGGGTTATAACAGGGATCCTTTCACTCAGCACTGAAGTGCGGCTGCTTCTGGGGTGGAACGCAGCAGTAACACCCTGTAATTAGGGCAAGACACTGAGGAATACCACGCCCAGTTGAAACTGCAAGGGAACTGCAAGTGGCCAAAATACCCTGCTATTTGTCCTTAACGATACCACCCTGTTTTTCCAAGAGACTGCTAGTATCATTAAGCACAAATGGTAAGATTACAGTTGTACATCTCCTACAAGAGACAGCATATAAACAGAAAACACAGCCCTTCACTGTTACAGGGTATGAAGTTCTGCTGCTTCTAACCCGAGGGTTGTAATTCAAATGTTCAATTACTCACAAGAGATTTTAAGTAAACTGCCTCATGACTATCTACCACTCTACATGGGTACATCTGCACGGAAGCGGAGCGCGTGCGTCCCAGCTCAGACAGACACCAGAGTACACTCCCAGGGAGTCCACTCGGGTTTGTACTTCGGCCGCTGGCCCAAGCTGCCAGCCGCTGCTACACTATTATTTTTACTGTGTGAGGTTGAGCAGAGCTAGCCTGTGTACTGAAGAGGGGAAGCACGGTTCCAACTGCGGTGTAGAAATGCCCAATCCCCACTTTGCAAGAGTACCTCTTTCCTCACTAAAGGTCCCACAAAACGTTCTTTGAATGTACTGGGTTTGCCTTTGATCACCATGGGCAATGAGGTAACCAGGGGTCTGATCCAACTCCCAGTGGAAATCAATGGAGCCTTTCCCTTTCCTTCAATGAAAACTGCTGGATTGATGTTAAATTGTTTGCAAGAATTTGATCTTCCCATGCACATAATTAGGCACTTCAGGATCCCCAGTAAAGGTTCTATATGTAGATCTTCAGCCCAATGTGCTCTCACTGCTGATACTAACCTGTACTGCTTGCAGCAAATGTGTGCTACAGTTAATCTGAGAAGATGGAAACAGGTGGAAAAAATTTTTCCAGCTGTACCTACAGTGACCCATGCTTACCCAAACTACTCATGCATTCAGCAGAATTAGCTACTCTTGATCTGTTTCCGTTTTCTTCCCTGCCAAGTTTAATCAAAGTTCAGCTGCTTTATACACTTGGACTACGATGGGGGAAAAAAATCATTGGCTTCCCAAACTAGAGGGAGAGCAGATCGGTTAATTTGACAGTGGTTCCAATATTGATCCAACATTTGAGACAACCAGCTAATCTAAGACAGATGTAACGATTAGCTTTCTGTTAACCACAGCACGTTCGCTTTTTTTTGTTTTTTAGATTTACAATGTGAGTTTTAACAAGCTCTTTTGAATATTTTTGTTCCCCCTCCCTCTCCTGTTTGAGGAAGATGTGCAGATGTATCAAGTCAGGTACACGCTTTCCTCCATTATCCTTGTTTAGCAGTTAAACGCCAGCACCCCTGAAGCAGTTAAAAATGAAACAAGAAAAGCTTTGTCGTGGTGTCTTGACCTGCGCCACCTTCATGGGAAATTTCAAGGGTGAGTCAATGGGCTGGAACAGCATCCCACTCAATTAGCAGAGAGAAGTGCCTGCATTAGAAAGTCAGCTCAAGCATAATACAGCTAATTTGGAGATTTTTCTCCAGTAGCTTCTACCTGAGCCCTGATTCCCTCTGCATTCCAGCTGTGAGCAAAATCATTAACATAGAAGGTAACCTACAAAGCTGAGTCACCTTTTTGGCTTGGTTCTTATGAAATTTATCCATGTCATCCGAGGAAGGCCTAATGCATCCAGCTCTTCTCCATCCTTAGAGAGCCCTTTTTTCCCGCTTCACCATGCCACTTTGGTCTCATTTCAGGGTTGGGTTACTGTGTTGGTGCAGTGTGGTGTTGGTGGCCTGAGAGATACAGGTCAGGCTAGATATCTAGTGGGTCCCTTCTGGCCTTGAATTCTATGACACATTACAATCAAAATCCACTCCACCACACAGCCCCTTGCCACCTCAGTTGGCCCAAAGGGAGAGAGAGGGGTGACAAAGCAAGTGGTCCCATGTCTATTTCAAGAGACAAGTGTATAATTCACATGAAATAGCAACTTTTATTTTCTTAAATAAAACGCTTCTGGCCAGTTCATCCTTAGGCGGTTTAGGAGGAGCACGAAGGAGGCGCTCGGGGTCAGAGGGGCTCGCCATCAACCCAGGCTTCGTAGTTCCAAATTCTGCATGGGGACTGAGCTATTTTATCACAAAAGTAAAAGCTAGTGGAGGCTCTTGCTCAAGGAAAGAAAGCCGGTATCTATCAGACACTATGAACTGTTAGCAACAACATTTAATAAAGCATGATTAGAAAATCCACAGTTTTCTGATGGAAGATCTCCATTAAGAAGCATTATTATTCATTTATTATAGCCAAAAAAAGGCCACAGCATAGAAGGGGACTCGAGCCTGAATAGCTATTTCTGGGATTTAGGAGCTGTGGATGCATGATTTGGAGACAAGCGGTGTCCTGACAACTATTCCTCAGGTACCTATGTCAGAAAAGGTGGAAGGGGGAGAAGGCAAAGCAGAGGTTTCCCGCTGGGCAACTCGTAATGCCATCTCTCTGACCTGTGACATGGACAGAAATGAATCCTCACCAAGTCTTGGTGCTCTTCTAGGATGTAGCTACGGCACCTGTGGCCTGGCCATGCGTCAATCCCTTTGTTAATAGGGTTGCACTTTCCAGCTCTCTCGACAGTACTAATTGGATCAGGACACCCTAATAGGCTATGTCAGAGGGTTAACAAGAGGCATGGGATGTTGGTTTTAAATTTGATAGAGTAGGACTTTCAAAAGCTCAGCCTAGGGCTGTCTCAGATGTGGGAGACTGGTGTCTAAAGCCACTGAGGTGCAGAACTAAGAAACCAGCGGAAGCTAGAAAGGCTGTGAATTCTAGCAGCCCTCGTATTGGGCGAGTGGGGAAGGGAAAGGTTTGCTTTAATGACACACTTACATTAAAGGACAGGAATGTGCAATGAATGGCAGGTAACCTCTCTCAGTGCTGGTATCAACGGCACCAAGAGAAGAGTCACATTTGCATGGACGAATCCACAGATTCCGATTAACCGAGAAAGCTGGTATAACAGACAGACGTGTATGTGAAATCTGCAGTGGTAAAGGAGGCCGCCGGGGAGAGGATTCTCTTCTCATCATAACAAATGGGCTCCAGGATCCAACTTTTAGAGATGCTGTGCAAACAAGCTACCTTGCTGAAATGTCACCAGATGGGAATCCCCTCGTCTCCCCCATCCCAACCTGTTATAGTGTATCCTTAGTCTCTTCCCGTCTCCAACGGAACAAGCTTCATGGAAGCCTACGTGGCTTTGGAGCACATCTTCCTTTTTTTGGCTTTTATATGGTCACAATAAGTCAGTTCCAATTCTACAGCCTAAGGCGGTGTCAGGCACCAGTGAGCAGCGGCTAAGAGGGTTATTTCTTGACAATCTGGATGACATCTTCATGCTCCATCAAATGAGTTAATCCTACTCTTTGAGGACTGTATTTTGTGCTGGTTCCCTTTAAACCAGGAGAAAGCAATTTGAAACGTGTTAGGAGTGAACACTTCAAATACAGGCAAATCAAATTCAGAGAGTATTAGTCACTTACCCACACCAAGGCGTATTTGAACTGGCTGGCTAATGTTCTGTGAATTCGATGGCACTGCAATAAGACAGTGTGTGAGACAGTCAAAGGATAATACTTCAATATACATCAGCCTCTATTCTATTCAGGTTCTTATACTGTGCCCCTCACCATGGTGTCTGAGCACCTGAGAATTAGACTTGAAAACACTGTTTTTGATTATTAGCGCCAACTAATCATGCCTCCCAAGACAAGAAGTGGAGATTTTCCCCAGACTTCCAGTACCCACTGCTGTCTTCAATTAACATCTAGCCCCTACAAAACAGGAACACCTTGGGTCCATGCTGTATACTGCAAAGGCAACTTCGGAGCCACATTCAAAAACGCACAAAGAGCATAAAGTAAATGTACTAGAATCGTGTTTTCTCCATACAAAGTTCCCAGGAACAGCGTCATAAAAGTCACATCATTTCCATCTGCTTGTTTGCTGAACTCTATTAAGTTATCTTGGTGACGTTACACCCCATATTCTTTATAGAAAATGGTTATGATCTGAATATGGCCTCAGATATATTTTATGCAAGATGATCTTGTAAGTTATCATTGGAAAGATGATTTACTGAATGTGATTATCCAATTTGTCTTGCTTGTATCATTTCTGTATCTGAAGTTAGGAATATTGACTATGTAACAATTACAACTGGGTGTGTATTTGGGAGACACCCACCAGACAACCGGCCATCACAGCCTTGATGGGTCATTAGGAAGAAACAATAAGACTGTGAAGATACTAATTTCTCTCCTTCCTGAGAGGTGTCCTGGGACGTAGCTGTGACACTATAAGGTCAGGTGGTCCTGTCACCTGGTACTAAATACCACCTTGGACACTGCTGGTACTTTTCCTCTGTAGAGGGATGGGGATCAAACAAAGGTTTCCCGCCTTAGGTAAATCCTTTTAAAGGCTGGGGAGAGGGTTAATCTGGACTCTCCTCCACTGCCTACCCAAGAAGAAAGACAGCTGAAAATACCTGAAGAGACAAAGGAACAAACCTGAGGGAAAGGCAGGGGTGAGTCCAGACTGAGACAGGGATCCAGTCTGTAAGACGAAATAACTGGAACGCTAAGCTACAGAAACTCTGCAACTTGCCTAAAATAACATTTGGGGTGAGATATTACTTCTTGAAAGGAGTCTCTTTAAGATCTTAAGCTTAGATTGCGTGTTTTGTTTTATTTGCTCAGTAATCTGCTTTGTTCTGTTTGCTGTCCCTTATAATCACTTAAAATCTGCCTTTTATAGTCAATAAATTTGTTTTGTTTATTATTAAAACCCAGTTTGTGCAATTTCTAACTGGGGGGGGTGGGAGCAAGAAGTTGTGCATATCTCTCTTCACATTGAGAGGGCGAATTTTTATGAGCTTGCGCTGTGCAGATCTTTCTATATAGGGTAAGACAGTATTATCTTTGGTTTATTCCCCAAAGGGGGTGTGTGCAAGTGAGTGCTGGGTGAATCCTCTCACACAGAGCTGACTTCAGTCTATGTCTGCAGCTGGGTGTGGCCCTGTGTGTGCATGCTGCAAGAGGCCGCAGAGCCTAATTCAGGAAAACAGCGAGAAGGAATCCAGACAGGTGGAGCAGGAAGGGCTCAATGAAACCCCAGTATATCAGGTGGCTTGCCAGAAGGGGGGTGTCCAACCCATCACAATCTTCATCACCTTTTATCTTGTAAAAATGTTTGTAAAGTACATAACCAGGAAAGAAACATTTGTTTCTATACCTTAGTTAGACCAAGCTAAGGAATGCTAATGGGCAACAAAACATCAACACGTGTTTTTTCATAGGACAACCTGAAATATACAAAATCCTACCAAGAGTCTCGGGTAGGAAGTTTGCTTTGGACTCAGTGCTGTTCTACCACCAGAGAAAGATCTTTCTTTGTGTTATTTACTTACCACATGCTCTACAGACGCTCCTTTCCGGAGAATAATGGCATCTGAGAAGTCTGGTCTCTCTAAAGAGCACAGAAAAACAAGAAGGGAAAAGATAGCAACGCTTTCCTGATCGCTGTCCTTTAACACAATCTGACAATGCATTTGATTACGTACAACTCTTTGAATCCCCCCGGCTCCCCCACGCTAGTTACACCTGACAGCAGGCTGGCATACAAAGCAGCCATTCACCTGAGTTATATTGCCTACTTAGCTCCACACACACTCCAGTGGGAGGAAGTACAAACTGGCTACTTACCCTGGACTTTTAAAGACCAATACATTGAATCAATTCATAATCTTCAAAGACAGTATTTCCAAGATTTGATTTACTCTCTCTCAGGTACCAAAGGGATTTCCTTCTATACGAAAACAACAAGGAGTCCGGTGGCACCTTAAAGACTAACAGATTTATTTGGGCATAAGCTTTCATGGGTAAAAAAACCTCACTTCTTCAGATAAGTGAGGATTTTTACTCACGAAAGCTTATGCCCAAATAAGTGGGACTGCTGAAAGAACCTGAAGGGACAAAGGAACTAACCTGAAGGGAATGGCAGGGGTGAGTCCAGACAGACAGGGGTCCAGTCTGTAAGAATAACTGGAACTCAGAGCTACAGAAACTCTGTATCCTGCCTAATTCAACATTTAGGGTGAGAAGTTACATTTTGTAACCTGTTTCTTTAGTGAATCAATCTTAGTTTGTGTCTTTTGTTTTATTTGCTTAGTAATCTGCTTTGTTCTGTCTGCTATCCCTTATAATCACTTAAAATCTGTCTTTTGTAGTTAATAAACTTATTTCTTGTTTATAACATAACCCCAGTTTATGCAATTTATATCTGGGGGGGGTTCAAGAAGCTGTGCATCTCTCTCCCCACATTGAGGGAGAGGATGAATTTTTATGAGCTTAAGCTGTGCGGATTTTTCTCTCCAGAGCAAGACAATATACCTTTGGGTTTGCACTCCATGGGGGGTGGGCACCTGAGTGCTGGGGCAAATGCTGATCTCTGTGTCTGTCTTTCTGCAGCAGGGTGTGGCCCTGCCTGTCTGTGCGCTAGAGGAGGCTTAAAAGCCTGGATCAGGAAGACAGGTTAAAGGGAGCCCAGGCTGGCGGAACAGGCAGGCTTAGTGGTATCTCAATACATCAGGTGGCAGCTTAAAGGGGGGCAACCCGTCACACCAACTGCCCACTGACAGCCAATGGGAGTTGGGCACATAGTGTACTTCTGAAAATCTTCCCCTCGGACTCTTCTTTTGCCAGTCAGTGTTTTGCTTACGTCCTCTCTTCTTAGTGAAGATACAGGTCAGCGCCAGGTACTCCCACAGCTTCTCCAATAAATAGTCCAGGTTCAGCTTCATCCCACAGCTGCAAAACACCACGAACATCTTGGCTTAGTGTAATTCTATTCCCCAAAGAGCAGCCCAAATTCCATTTTACCTGGAATCCACAAAGAAGTGTGATCGAGAAACCTATTAAGTGCTAGATGACAAGGTGAAGCTTTCTGATGCGTCAGGATGGGAAAACAGACAATGCTTTCCAAAGGTACACCAGCTTCAAAGTGGCAGAGCCCATCAGTTTCATAGAACAGATAATAGAACAGAACTACTAAGACGACCTGGTTCATTTCAACCTGCAGATGGTGTGAGGCAGCTTATAGCAGATTTGCCTCTCTCTGTGGATAGAGGCCACTGAATATTTTGTTAAAAATGACAGGGTACTTGTTGAGTTTCACTCTCCGCCAGAGCACAGAGCAGCTAAGTGGTGTGCCAAGGAGCGCACCCCTCTTTGGGATAGCAAAGGAAGCGGGTATTAATGAAATGTAAACCAACTTCCCTAAGTGCAGAGCCTGTAGAAGGCGTGGATTGACAGGCCTGCAAGCTCTTACCTGATCACAACACTGTTGGGTCTCCGAGCCAGACGATCTACTTCTTCCATAGATATCTGGTCAATCTTGTTATAAACCTAAATCAAAAGGGAAAAGGACATATCCTTTAGAAAGTCAATTCAAGTGACATTGCAAGAAAATACAATACGTACAAGTAATTATGAAGCTCTGCAGCTTCCAGTCCTCGCAGACATACAATAATGAGACGCTGGAGCTTGTTAAAAAATGTGGTTCTTATTATAATACTGATCAAAGATTTTTGGTAAATTGTTAAAGTTCATAAGCCTCAAAATAACGGACAAGTTTTCCCATTTTAACCTTCTTTCCTTTGGCGTCAACCCTCTGGTGTTTTGTTCTGGGACCTAATAATAAAAATCCAACACATTATCAAAAGGGGCCCCTGAAAGGAAAGGTGCATCTACAGTGCACCAAGGCTGTGCACATATAGACACTGGGGTTGGTAGAGGAAATCAGCCATGGAACTTTCAGCACCAAAACACAAGTCTCTCCACCGCCTGAGCTAAAAGAGGAACGATCAGCCGTAGGTAGCCTGCTGCTGTAGTCATTGGGGCCAGCCACAAGAGGGCGCTGGAATCATGTGCTAAACGAGCGTATTACACTAGCACTCTGTTAGCACATGCGCAACAGGTAACCTAGAAGTTTTACGACAAGTGGTGGTTTTCACATACAGAGTGAGTCTCTCCAGGCAAGAGGTCAAGATCATTCTATATTTAGGACCCCAATCTTATGCTGTCCCATTAATTATACAGAAATAAGGCTGTTTCTGGGATACTCACATAAAGGCAGGGCATATAGACTCTGTTACCGACAATCACATCGATAAACTCATCAGGAGAACAATCTTCTCTAAACAGAATCTCTGCATTGAAGATTTCTGAGGTGGACATCATTAAGGCCAAACTTCCTTTCTTGGCTAAATGCATGAGACAGGCACAATGGGCTAGATTTGTTTAATCTTGTATAATGGGGGCTGCTCAGAAGACCTCCCCCTACCGCCCCAAAAAACCCTCCTACTGCTTTTAACCACATCGTCACCCTATTGGCACGAACACCTTGCTCTGGAATTAGTATTGAAGATACAATCCCATTCCAATTCACCTTCACCTAGTGGGCTGTGGATCTGAGGTGTGGGATGGTGGTCAAAAGAAGCAGTTTCTGGAGGTTGCCCTTTTCTGGGCTCCCCTTCAGGAAAGGATACTGTACTCATGGAGGATGAGTTGCACCAGCTTTTCGGAGCACTGGGTCAGCGTGACAGTCGAGTTAAAGGAGATGCCCCCACCCTTCTTTGGCTGGATGAACAGAACAAAGAATCTTAAAACATTCCGTAAAACGTCAAGTCCACATTATCTGTGACACAACCAAAGGGACAGGCACAGAGGAATTTGTGCTTCCATTGGATGAGCACACACAAACCCATGACCGTGCAGGGCTACTGGTAAGACTCACCTTGAAGTAGATGTTTGGTTTGCATTTGTTCAGCCGGATTCCTACAGATTCCAATTCCTTTTCCAAGAGAGACCTGCGTAGATGCTGCAAATTAGTCATTGGTACACTGGACTTAGCGCAGCAAGAGGAACAAATGGTCAAAAGATTGGGTTTTGACTGGCCAGCACCTTGAGGTTTCTCAGCTCCAAATCACCACCCTGTGGATCTTCTCTATACCACTGACTGGGGCCCTCCCATTCAGCAAGGCCTCTAATTGGGACCTAAGAACCTGGCCATGGGAGGAGGAAGCCTCAAATAGAGACACCACCATGTAATCTATTATCCTTTCCTGGACAGGCCATATGCTGATGTTCTTCTCCTCAAGAAGCAAGAACTGAGATGCCTTGCAAGCTTAGTAAATGCTGCGCCTACCTAGCCAGTAAGTATTTCTGTTGAGCACAACCAAGTCCATTGCCCAAGCCTGGGCTGCTTGCTTGGAAGCTACCAATAGGCCACCCAGCACAGACAATAATCTGCAGTAACAGTTATCTTGCTGCTAAAGTAATGGCCAAAAAGCCCTGATAGAAGTTTAAATTTAAACTGAAACGCATTAACAGAGGGGCCTCATGATGCACACATTTTTAGAAGAACCAGCTAGAGTGGAAGAACAATTTAGCAAAAATCAACACAGTCAGTTCATTTTGGAATGCCTATGGAGAGAGGGACTAAAGGGAGAAGATGATCCCAGGAATATTAAAAAGTAAAATTATTAGCCTAATATAGATTACATTAAGACATTAGTAAATATCTATGTGCTGCATACGGGGTATGCCTAGTTGGCCTCCGCAGCTGGAAAGTATCAAGCCGTCTGGATTCCTTCATTGGCTGATCAGCCCAGAACTGACTAAGCTGCTCCCTGCGCTCACCTCTGTACTTCGCCCTTGGTGGCATCCAGCATCATGATGACAACATCAGCGGTCCTAGCCACAGCGATCACCTGACGTCCTCTCCCTTTCCCTGCAAAGGAAGGAGATGATGTTATCCGTGGGAAGGCAGAATAGCTAAAAGCTCCCTCGAACCAGGAGCCGTCCCATGGGACTTCTTCAAAGCAAGAAAGAATTTAATTCCTGTTTTGGCTGCACTAACCTGTTGGGAAGGCTGCCAGGCTAATGGGGTCATGGCCCATTCAGAGCTCTTGCAGGCTGAAATATATGCTTGTTCACAAAAGAAACACACCATATTTTGAAGGCCAGTCCAACAGAAAGCACTACACAGACACACAAGGGACTTGGCTCTAAGCAACCGCAGGATCCATTCCCCCTGGTTGCATGGGGCTGGGATGTGACCCACTCAATCTGTAGCATGAGGGGCATGCAGTTTTTGATGAGCAGGCACTCCCTCTGCAAGCAGAGAGTGGAGAGGCATTGCAATCCCATCAGACTGCCTTCTTTCCAAGAAGCAGCGTGTGTGCAGTTCTCTCTCTCTCCTGCACTGAAGTGAGGATACCCAGAATAGCGAAGAGGAAAACCCCGAGATCCCAGTTCAAATCAGCTAGACACACTTTCTGATCAGAAGTGAAAGGAGATGTTTATTAACCAAACTACACTGTGCTCAGAATGAAACACCAGAAGACTCCTAGGAACCTCACAAGACACCTCTCGTCACAGCTGAGCGACTGGCAGATGAAGCAAGAGGAAAGAGGTGGAATGAATTCCTGGCTCCCAGGTCAAGGAGCCACATCAGAACTCTCAGAAACACCCAGGTGATCGTAGCTGAACAATATTTCTTGCCTTGCTTAATCCTCCTCCCGCACATCTCCAGTTTCTTTCTCTAGTGACCAACACCAAAGACCTCCCCTTGTACCAGAAGAGCAGATGAGCAAGGCCAAGACTCCTCCTGAATAGGGAGATTTGCTTACTTCTGCTTCCCACCTCTGGAACAAGCATCTCCTACAACATAATATGCCTTTACATAATTCAGGGACCCTCTTACAATTGTCCCCCACATTCAGGACCTCGGGTTTTAAGTCTAAGGTGTTCACACAATACATGACCAGGCTGGCACCATTTAGAAACTCCACCCAGTGCTGAGCGCAATGTAAATGAATGTAAGAGTTAACCGACCTTGTGCGGCTCCTTCGATGATTCCAGGCAAATCCAAAAGCTGAATGTTTGCTCCTTTGTACTGCAAGATAATCAGAAAGGTGGAAAATGATGAGGAACCGCACCAAACCTTTGAAACGGCTTTCCTAACGCCAGCTAGGCACTCAGTGTACTGTAAACAGAGGCCAAATTCGGAAACCAATGGGGCAGCACAGGGCAAAATCCGGCCCAGTAAATTTAGCATCCCATTGAGCTGGAAACAATTTGCAGTTTTTTTTACCATGAAGCTGTTTCACTAACTTTCTGAAAATTCCTCTTCCACCGCAAGATATATTTGACTGCAGCAGTTTATGGCCAAAGCTACTAAAATTCTAGACCATCTTGGTTTGACTACAAAACGACAAGACTAGAGCACACCATGGCTGTATTATTTTGGTCCTCTGTTCACCAAAGAAACTTGTCCATACGAGTAATAAGTTTCTTATCTGGTCCAACAGGTGAAATATTGTAACGAGAAGTGCAAACACCGCTTCTCATGGCTGGATTCAGAATTACTCAGCTGAGTCTCATAGGCATAATATTACCACTGTTAACAGAGAATCTCCTTTAACTCAAGCGGTGAGGGTCACTTGCTTATGGAGCAGGAGGATGAGAGTTCCATTCCTGCTACTACAGAAACGTTTCAAATGACGACATTGTGCAGTACAATGAAGTTGCAGATGGCCTCAGATTTGTTACAATATTTATGTTTATTTTGACATCAATGTGTTTGTTTTAATTATTTTCACTCAGCCTGAATTTTGACCCCAAAATTTCACATTATACTAGGCGGCTTTTCACTTTGGTGCCTTTTATAATTTGCTTTACTGATGGATGTACAGGGCACAGACAGCAAAAACTCCTCAAGGATAGGAGTTGTCCTATTTGCTTTCCAAATTGATTACTGCACAGATTGCCTATTTTGAAGCTTCATTAAAAACAAATCTGTCAAGGTTTCCAGCCATCTGGTCAATGGTGCCAAAAGCGGTTATAAAAAAAAATTCAGTTAAGAATTATCTTATTGCCTGGCCCCCCTAAATGCAGAGTCAGGTCCCCAGTGCATGGTGCCTGTCTCAGAGGAGCAATGCTGCCTATAGAAGTGCCAGGCTCCACAGACCTAACAGTAAATGCTTGAGACCTTCCAAGAGTTCAAAACAGAAATCAGCTGGGAAGCAGGGACCTTTGGATACAGCTGGTTCTGAGCCCTACCATACATGTAATTAGAATACACACATCAGGAATAGCACGTCCCTACATACTAAGTTGCGGGTCTTTTGCTAACAGATTATGATTGAGACTATGTTTTAGTCACAGGTATTTTTAGTAAAAGTCATGGACAGGTCGGGGCAGTAAATAAAAATTCATGGCCATGACTTGTACTATATACCCCTGACTAAATCTTGGAACCGCGACCAATAGGCGCTGCGGGGTCGGTGCCTGCAAGCAGAGGTTGCACGCAGAGCTGCCTGGCCACGCCTCTCCCTAGGAGCTGAGGGAGGGGGATATTCCGGGGAGCTCCCTCAAGGTAAGTGTCACCCAGAGCCCTCATCCTGTCCCATGCCCCAACCCTCTGCCCCCTTCCACATCCAAACTCCTGCTGCTGCAGGGAGAAGAAAAGGCGGTGGCCCGAGACTGGCCCAAAGACTGCCTGGGCTGCACAAGAAGCCCCCAGGCCAGGCCCACCAGCCGCTGCAGAAGTCACAGAAAGTCACGGAATCTGTGACTTCTGTGACAAACTCGCAGCCTTACTTACAAGGTAGAATCCATCTGAATCACACTTACTTCTATGACACCTGGAATACACGTCAGCGTTGTGAATTCATACGAGGCAGCTTCACTGGCTGTGGAGGTCATTAAGCTCAGAAATGTGGACTGAAAGGCAATATATTTCATAACGTGAAATATATAAACAAATGACAGCACCGTTGAATATATAAAGATACATGGAAACAATGCACATCAATGACTGCTGAACAGGCATGGGGAGAAAACAACTGTCGTTTTAAAAACCATGTGCTCTTGCTATGCCGGGCATGGGAGTTTTAGAGGTGAAGTGGGATACTTGGCATGTTCTCTTGAATGTCAGTTACCAGACTGCTCTTACAAACCTTTCATCGTGGTGTTGCTGTCAGATGGGAACAAACGAAAGGTTTTGGGATGCACCAAGTGTGCTTTGCATACAAGAATGATGAAAGACTTTCCCCAGTTTTAGCCTTCAGGTCTGGGTGTGTGAGCAACATTATTTCCATTAATTTTTGGCAAACACACACTTAAGTTGCGGAAATACATAAAAAGTCAGAAACATGAGCGGTCAGATAACACAAGCATATTTCAAAAAACTGAAAACAAACTTAGGAACTGCACGTGCTAGAGTTAACTCTGATAGTCACTGACCTTACCCACAGAGGGAAAGCCAATCAGTGCCACTCGGGCATCTCCAGATTTCATCACATCAAAACCCTCTCCTTTAGCAGCAGCAGATTTGGAGGGTTCTAGTAGCTGAGCTCTGTACTTTGCAAGCTTTGCCTTCAGTAGGCCAAGATGGTACTCGGTAGCTTAAACAAAACAGAAAGAACAGTTAGTAACCAAATAGCCGGCAATAGCATCGGAACATGCACCTATTTCCCTATGAGTTCAAGTGACTTGTTTCTAGTTTAGGAATTGCAGCAACTAGGACATTACTACAAATTAACATTGTAGATCAAGTTTGGTGTTTTTAACTATTTGCTCTTTATGCTTGATGTGGCACAAAACACTGAAATAAATGCCCAAATAAATCTGTTAATCTTTAAGGTGCCACCAGACTGCTTGTTGTTTTTGTGGATACAGACTAACAGGGCTACTCCCGGATACTTGACACTGAAATAAAGGTAGCTCCTGCCTTAAGAGTGTCCATTCTGATAGAGAAGGGACAGGATTCCCAGGGAGAGCAAACAACAAGGTTTTGTGTTTTCTCCCCCCCCCCTTTATTTAGTTATTATAGACTCACTTCTTGTGGTGTAAGTTATGTCTTTACATTTAATCTGTTCCCAATGGCCTATCAGGACACGGGTATAAACCACCCATGAGGTGCGAGTTGCATTAGTTTGCACCAATATGGCACCCTGTAGGGGAGTATAAAGGCATCCAGCCAATTCTCTGGGGTGCAAATGGAGCCCCCAAAAGGACGAAAAAATCAGTGTAAGGGAAGGCGCTGACAGAATTGCCACCCGCCCCTCCCCGCTCCCAGCCCCCCGACAGACGGACGGGGCGAGCGCAGCCCCCCGACAGACAGACGGGGCGAGCCCCGCTCCCAGCCCCCCGACAGACAGACGGGGCGAGCCCTCCCCAGCGCCCGCGGCCGGGCCGCCCCTGACCTTTGTTCTTCTGGGTGCGCGCGATCTCCTTCTCGATCTCCGAGATCTTCTCCAGGATGCCCATGGCGCCGGCGGGCGGGGGCGCAGGCGCGCTCTGGGGGGCTCCGAAGCGGGCGCCAGAGGCCTAATGCGCCGCCTTCAAGCCACCCCGGCTCCTCGCCCGGAAGCTGCCGCCGGCTCGTCCGTTGCACTAATCACCCCCTCGGCGTGACGGGGTGGCGGCCGGTGCACTCGAGTTCCAGTCCGGCCGGGACACGCAACGTGCCGACCCCCGCTGCAAGGGTTCCGGGAGCACAAAGGTCCCCCCCCCCCCACCCCGCACAGTGGGCAGAGGGAGCTGGCCCCTGCCGTGTCTGCAAAACGCTGGGTCTCTCGGACCGGCCTGGCTCCCTCCCTCCAGAAGCGCCCCGGGGCTGGCCCTGCTCCTGCAGCGCCCAGCCAGGGCTGGTCCCAGCAATCACCCTGCCAGCTCAGGCATGGGTGCAGCTGCTGTGGGGGGAAGGGGCAGCAGCCTGCCCCTGGCAGTAGCTGCCCCCACGTCCCCCTGCCCACGAGCTGCTGCCCTCAGCCAGGGACAGGAAGAGTTTGTAACTAGTTTCTATGTGGCAACCCTCCCCCCTGCACTGTAATAGGAGGAGGCCTGGTCTTAGCCCCCACTTCACAGACTGCACAGTCCACCAGGAAGACTGTGTCAGACAAACGAGGCAGGACTCCTGCTCCAGCTCTGCCATCAGGGCCATTCCTGTTAGACATTGCCAAGGGAAAAGGCTGGGGCAGCATTTTAGATTGCCTTGCACGAGTCGTCCGCATCGCACGTCCCCCCCCCCCGCCACCCACCCTTGCTAAACCAGAAGTTTCCCACATTCTGATCAGGCAGAAAGCTCAGGCTTCTGCAGGGGTTCTTCCTTTTAATGTGCAGGCTGATTTCCTTAACTGCATTGTTCCATTTGCCATGCCATTAGCTTCAAGGGCTCTGCGATCCTGTCCACCGATTATTTTCAGACAAGAGAAATAGCCACTTAGGTTGATTATATAAAGCAGTGGTGATTTTTCATTTGCACAGTAGATAAAAGAACAGACGGGGCATTTAAATAATTAGCACTTAAGCAGATACATCAAAGCCACTCCACAAAACTCTTCTTACCCTAGTCTAGCAAAGAGGAACGTGCTTTTTATACAGACTAACACTGATGGTTACTAGAGGAAAAAAGTTGATTCTGTATTATCTATTGGGGGAATGCCACAAAATGGTAACAAATCCTACCTCCTTTCCTCATGCACCAAGGTCAAAATCTATACTCATGCTGTAATTACCATAAAGACAGAACCTGTAGCAAAAGTACAGACTGAGCATGCCAGGAAAGTTGATTACAAATGTAACTAGTTCGATTGTTGCTTACAATACGAGGCCCATTTAGATTTAGACTGGCCAAACATTAACCCCCATGTGTATAAGTAGCCCATTGTCAGATGTGTCCTTCAAACGACATAGCTGAACTCCAATAGGATATGGCTATATGAGAACTAGCCTGATTGTAAATGCATTAAAATTAAGTCTTTTTTAACTGCTAAGGGTTTAGATGGTATCCCATTAACATTTGGATTTAGTCACAAAGCTCTGAAACTTTAAACAAGATGCCATGGTGGGGGGAAAACCAGCATTTGTCCGAAAGTGACCATGGCTCCAAGAAGACAATCTGTTAGCACCTCTCCCCACAACCACTAAAGAAACAGCAAATGCAAACAGATTGATATGGTTATACTAGTCAGCAAACATGACTCCATTCCTAAGCCACAAAAAAGCCTTCCAGGCTTTCCAGGAAAGGAAAAATATATATATATAAGCCAGAACAGCAAGATATGTAAACTAACCACAGCTAATTTTCCTGTAGTGGCCATGTTCCAGGTTTGATGTGTGGAGCTGTAAGAAGTGTGCTGTCAGTACTGTATCTTTAAGGCCTGGACCACTGTGTTTGGGAGGAGTCAGCAGACTTTTCACTGCCAGTCAGCCATTGTTGCTTTGAGAAAGAAGCCCAGAAAGGAGGGGGCTTAGGTGCAGGTACTTAGAAGCTCTATATAAAGCTAACAATCGGGAAGAGTTTTAAAGAGAACTTTCTCACTATGATAATTTGATTGTTAGCTTATTTTCTGCTTGCCATCCTATTCCAATTAAAGCCAGGGTAATTCACTTCAGACAATCAGTGGCTTATTGGATTCTCCAGCCATAAAGCTTGATCAGCAAGATGCAACTTGCTGTTCCTATAAAACAAGAATTGCTTTGATTTACAAACACACAAACAAGCGGTCCTTAAAATACATTTCTTTTTAATTTGGACGTTGATAGCTCTGCAAAATACTTCTCCCAGTCCCTGTTCCACAATTAATCATAAATATACTCAGACTCTGCACCCACGTTAGGGTGTTGTTGTTTTTTAAACTTTCACAAGACTCAAAGACCCACCCTCCCACTTACTCTCCCCAAGAAGTCTCACCTTGTTAGTTTTCTTTCACCACAATGCAATATAATTAAGAGTATTTCCTCTTAGCTTAAACAGTTTCAGAAGAAAAAAAAACCCAAGCAAATCAAGGCTTTAGAGAATAAAAGCTTCTCCTTTTCTGAATGTAAGACAATCCTTTTAAAAAAAAATTTCATTCCTTTGCAACTTTTGGATTTCAGCTGAAATATGCTTTATGTGAGGGGGAAGAGCCCCTTCTGTCCCAAATCCCTCTCCAAAACATCAAGTCTCAGTGGTTTAGGGAACACATTAGGAGAGCTTCCTGATTATAAGCTGACCCAAGGGACCTCCTGCAACCCAGTTTCTGCATGTGGCCACCACAATGTTTGAAGTTAAAGCCTAACTATAATTGTCACAAAAATGTCATCGTGATGGGTTGGGTATCAGTGACAATATTGCACACCGCTCCAGAGGCACAGAAACCACTAACAGATTAAAAGTATTTGCACATTTCATTCTTGTTAAAAGGGTCTAAGGAGGCGTCACCGCAGATGGGCCTGATCAGTTTTAGTTTGGAAAACAGAGAAAAATGCTCCATTCATATTTTGTGGCCACAACCGCCTTTTCCGAAATAAGACAAACCCCTCACAGTACACAGGAGTGAGCCAGCAGCCCCTGTACTGCCAAGGTGCCTTATTCAAGTCATTGTGTCATCAGAATAGTGGACCTAGACAAGACACCTCTCTCACCCACCCTGTCCTCTGGCTGTTATCGGAGATCATTTCAGCATTTGTCTTCTAGCCATTTTTTAACTCCATTGTTGCTGTCCATCAAGACCTACAAGAAGTTAAGTTCCCTCATCCTTCACCTTTTTTAATACACCAGGTGGTTTCCCATCTAACCTTTAAGATGGAAACCTACTCTTTGCCTGGTTAGGCAACTTTTCCCAAATGTGTCTTGAACATGGGTTTACAGCTAGGATAAATAGGGCCACAGGACTTTGACTATTATGTCACCGAGCAAATTAAACCGGTTCCTTTTTTTAAGCAAAATAAACCAAGTCCCCAATGTGAAATATACAAAGAGAGCCCACTGAGACCTGAATGCTTTCCCATTAAGGCTTAACCTATCAACTCAGCCTCTGCAAAATACAATACGGACACTGTGAAAAGGAAAAAAGTTAGTTAAAAAAACAACTTCACACTCCATAAGTGAAGGGCTTTGCTTTTTGATTGCAAGTGGCAAACATTCTTTAAAAATGATTTGCTCTGTTGGTACAAATCTCCCTGTTCTTAATAGCTTTTTTTTTTTTTTAAATAAAACAGCCAGAAAAAGGCAAGGTAAGTTGTCTCACAAAAGCCCTGCACGCATAGAGTATCATATTAAATATACAACTGATGCCAACTTTTAAAATGTCTTAAAAAAACCTCCCCACACACAGACACGCACACACTTTGGCACACAAGCCTTAAGTTATTTCACTTGAACGTTTCAAAGTTGTAGGACAGCCACTGTTCTTTTTGTTGTTTTTTCGTTTTGCCTGGTATAAAGGTATCAAGCAGTGATGTTGGTGGAGCACGAAAAGTAGGTACAAATGCTAAACAGTTCACTAGCAGCATTTCTGCAATGCTGCTAAACACTTGTACCAGGACGATTTTTCCAAAGCTGCTGGTTGATTACATACATATATATATAAAAAACTAACAGACATTCACTGTTTTCAATGTGAAAACAGTAAAATGTAATTCTGAATAATTGTGCATTTGCCATAGGGTCCTTGGGAAGAGGAACCATAAAAATATTTTTTTTGTTATTAAAAGTCTTTTTTATTTTTTACCCTTAAGTAAAGAGCAAATATACACTTAGTAAGCAGAGCTCAGATCCACTTCTACTGAGGGCCTGGAAGTCTTTACATTTAATCTATTCCCCGTGGCATATCAAGACAAAGGAACAGCTTGCAGCTCAGAAGTGGCTAGCGTTCCTGAGAGATCTGCAGCTCCGGCTAACCTCATTAGCCAGTATGAGCTGGAGATTCATTAGGTCTTCAAGACTTGTCTGTCTCAGCCAAATGCTTCTGTAGTGGACTCTGCAGATCAGCAGTTCTCTCCGCTAGGCCAAGCCTCGCTAATGCAGCGACACGCCCAGGCTCTGGAAGCGGCCGAGCTGTCAGACAGAGCGACAAATGTGAACGGCCGCAGTTCTTTGTATTTCAACCCATACTAGGATGTAACATGAAACCATAAGTGCTGTGCTTATGTTTTCTTATTACTCAGAGGAGAAGGTGTTGATTCCAGCTAGGGCCAAACTTCCAGAAGGGGGTCGGGAGGAATTTCAGTGATAAAGAAACTAGCTGTGCAAAAAGAAAGTGCATTTAAAGGTAGCTTTAAAACCAGATTAAAGATCAAATTGCCACTTGGCGGGAGGGAGACTCCAGCTCCTGCAGCCACGCTCCTTGGGTCGGATGGGCTGACATTCATGCTTTCTTTCACAAGTCCGTTGGGCAGAAGAGAAGCGCGTGTCCCCCCACTCCGACAGGGACACATCTCTCGTGGCAGATCACGCTCTCTCCTGCCCGGGTTCTTTTCACTTGGTATCATTCTGTCCGCCTGTCATCGGAACTCATAGATGGGTGCACTGTGCTCAGGGACATGAGTTAGATTCAGAGACTGATACCTGAGAGGAAGGAAAAACAGGGACGATAATGACAAGACATAATGAGCCATTTCCCCTTCCGACCTTTCCCTGAGCTCTGCGTCTGTTCATCTGGTTACACTTTAGG